CTGCCTCAGCTGCGGCTGCTCTGTTTACGTGTCGATTTTACACCTACACACGCGATTGATAAAAACAATAACAAAATTCCAAATTAAACACATAAAAGTTTTTATGCGTTAGCAATAAAAGTGTAGACGTAGCCAAATCGTTCTTAATATTGTTGCTGCTATTGCTGTTGCTGCTGCTTCTTCTTCTTGTTATTATTGATGCTGTTGTTGTGGGGGTGGGTGGGTGATTTTGCTTGCCCTTCTGCWTGGAGGCCCAGTTCCACGGACGAAGGTCAGGTAAACAAAGCAAAAAAGTTCCCCGAGAGCGCGATGAGTGCGGCAACAGCTGGCTGACCGCACATACATAAATATATATATAGGCACATATATACAATATATATGTATATATMTGTACGATAAATACATGTATTTGGTATTATAAAATCGATTACGTGATCAGCGGCAGCGCCTTAGCCAAGACGCCATCAGCGTGGGCCAAATCAATGAGCAGGCGGCGGCCAAGTAAACCAAAACGTTAACAGCACAGCCAGCACAGTGGGCCGACTATACGAAATACGTTGTCTAAATATAAAGAACAAATATATATTATTTAATAGCTATTAAGCTTGACGAGGGCGCCTTCCTATCGTAACCGCAGACCCGAACATGCGAAAATACTATTACTAGAATTTATTTAAATCTGAGTATTCTGCTATTTAGTTACGGAAATCATGTTTCGCTTGCCAAATTTCATAAACAGCTCATATGCACAAATATTTGCCGCAGCACCTTGAACCACTGTGCTGTGGCATTTTACATGCCGTTGCCGTTGCGGCGACTGTTATTTCCGCCTTGGCGTTTGCCTGCAGCATTTACAGAATTTACAGCCACAGCCACTCGCTTAACATGGCTACCTCGCGCCCTCATCTCGTCCACAGCCTCGCCCCGCTCCCGCTCCCGCTTCCGCTTCCCAMCCCCTTGGGCCAAGCGCTTGAAAGTCGCGTGCAGCGTGTTTATTTGTCAAAACATTTTTGCAGCGCCTTCGCCGCCTGCGCCTGGCCGCCATCTGTTTATAATAAATTTTAGCTGCAAATTGCAAAATGTTTACAGTGGGGCAACAGCAGCAGCAGCAGCCATTGCTGTTTGGCATTTTTTTTATTTTATTTTATTTATTTTTTTTTTTTTGCTTAACGCTAATATGCAGTTCATGTTTATTTGTTAGATAACGGTTTTTGGGTATGTGTGCGAGTGTGTGTGTGTGCCTGCCTGCCGGAAATTTGGGCTGGCCATTGGTTTTGGCAGTTTATATGACTATTAATATTGCCAAAAAGCTAAATAAAAAGCTAACAGCGAGAGAGAGAGAGAGAGAGAGAGAAGGGAGGGAGAGTGTGATAAGCACATTGCATTGCGAAATGCATGCAAATAATTGGCGCCTTTTGTCAGGGTCAGGGTGTTGTGAACTTTTCGCTAGGGGTTGGGGCTGCCATTTTGGCAGCCACTAAACACCGACAAAAATGTCAAAATGCCAGCCAAGCGCAGGCGACAAGAGCTGTCAAAACTATTAGCGGCTATGCGAGACTCTTACACACACAGAGAGGGAGAGATATACCATCAAATATAGATTTACACATACATATGCACATATTCAGGCCATTCAAAACGAATAAGATTATTTCTCTTCACTCAAAATGCCAAGCAAATATGTAGGCCAAATAAAAGAAAAAAGCAAAAAAAAAAAAAAAATGTGGAAAACTGTTGACAATTTTCTGTATGCCTGGTTCGGGCCATGAATGAGTCTTTCTGTTCTGTTGCAGTGGGCGCATTGGCTGATGGGCGTGGCACAGCATGTGCACGCCTTAAGTGCCTGCGGCGCACTGACAGCTTCATTAAGACTTTCGCCTCCAAGTCGATAATGAGCAAGAGATGATGCTGCTGCTGCTGCTGCGGCTGTTAGTGATGAGGCAGCCTCTGTTGGTCAGCGTCGACAATGTATGACTAAGAAAAGCGAAATATAATAAAACAAAACAAGCTGACAAATGTCAAACAGCCGCAAGTTGGCCAAAACGTGGGCGTTTGCACCAAATATGTAAACACGAAACGAGAGTGAAACAAGCTAACTAAGGGCCAAGACTGAAGAGAGACTAAGTTGAATTTTGAAAGGCGTGAAGTTAGGTAAGGGGTTATTGTGGCTTAGGCATTGCTTCTAGGTTAGTTAATGTCTCTAGTGCTTTACTCACATTCTTTATTCTTATCCATGGCCGGCTGTAACGGACTAGAGTCGACAATGGCCTTTGGTGGTGATTGTCGTGCATCATAGCAATCGGAATTGTTGCCATCATCGCTGCTGCCCAGAAACGTCGCCTCCAGACGCTGTTCACCTGTGGTGAGCGAATAAACAATTGTTAGGCATACTAATTAATCAGATCATAGGTTTTTATATTTATATATACCTTCCGACATATCGTCGTAGGCGTCGTGCAGGAATATTATATCCTGAAAGGTATGCTCCAAGGCCTTGCCGCTGAGCCGTGTGGCCAGCAGGCCGTTGCAGGCGCCGCTCGAGATGAGCTCGACGGTGGCCAGCGGCGATGACGAGATGGTGGCCAGCAGCGATGAGCCGCCGCTGCCACTGCCACTGACGCTGCTGCCGCTGCCGCTGCTCAGACTATGCAGCGAGGCGGACTTGACCAGTTGGCCAACCTTGGGGCTACTATTGTGCGTCTTTTGTGTGGCCTTGAGTGTGCGTGTCAGGCTCTTATTGGGCGACGTCGACGTCGACTTGTTGAGCAAACGTTGTGCCGTCGCTGCGCTAACCGACTTGGAGCTGCAGTTGGAACTGTTGCTGCTGCAGCTGCTCACGCTACTGATGCTGCTGCTGCTGCAGCTGCTGTTGGATTTCTTGGAACAGTTTGAGCTTATGGATGAGGCGGGCGAGGCTGATGATGAACAGCTGCTTAGTATAGTCGATTGCTGTTGCTGCTGCGACTGCTGCTGCTGCTGCTGCTGTTGGAGTGTATTGTTGCTGCCGTTGGCTGATTTGGTATCGATGCTTATGGGTATGTTGCTGTTGGCCACCAGCTTCTGCTGCTGCTGTTGATTCTGTGGTATTTGTGGCTTGTTTGCTGTTCCTGCGGCTGCTGCTGCTGCTACTGCTGCTGTGGCGCCTGATGGGCTTTGAAACCAACTGGGAAAGTTGCCTTTGAGCGTATCAATTAGATCCTGATCGAGCGTTAAACGCCACGATGCAGGGCCGCCGTCCACGCTGTGCGTAGACTCTGTAAAAAACACGAACAAAATAGAGATATTAATTTATTTGTTTACATAACATACGCTGCGTATACTTAATATTCAATTTAGAGCTTGGCATTATTATTGTAGCTATCTTAATGTTATTTATCAACGGACCCACGCAACTATCGAACAAGTCAATTCTTACAGACAGATAAATATATAAATACATATATCTAGTTATATATTTAAAATATATTTATTTATTTATTTATTTAGCCGCACTGTTGCGCACTTATTTATTTTAATGTTCACCCTTTGGCGGCAAAGCCAATGACGCAGCTGCCCGTGTGCTAGTTATTTGTGCTAAGCGCTGCCAAGTAACCTACTTAGTGCGAATACGCCCAGCCACCCCTGCACCCAGCACCGCCCCCTCGCAGTGAAAACTTAGCAACGCGCGTACTTGGTTGTTCTTTTCTCTTTTTTTTTTTTTTTCATTTTCTTGTCATTATTTTTTTATTTTCTCTCTCTGCTTTTCTTTGCAATTTCTCTTCTCGTTTAGCTTCTGTTAATGCTTTTCTTGCCTTGTGTTTATTTACGCATCTGTCAATAATTGTTCTTCAATGTAACATATTTAATAAACTGCTTGGGTGTGCGTGTGTGCGTCTGTGTGTCAAGTAATTGTAATAGCTGTAAGTGCGCTGAAATTTTTGGCACTGACCGTTATTGCATCAGGCGGGCGCGACATTCCCAGACGCGCCCCAAGTTATGCAACAGTTTGTCAACATTTTTAGCTCTGTCCGCAAATAGAAACGTCGCAAACAGATGAAAAAATACCTTTTTCATCTACCCTTTGCCAACGAGCTGCGCATTGGACTGACATGCACTTGTCAAACGTACCATTTTGGCTGAGCTCCTCTTCTTTGCTTCTGTTATTTTTGGCAATTGCTCGTTTCAGTTAGTTCTATTAATAGTGAAAGGTTTTTATTTACTCTGCTCTTCTGCTATTGAATGGAGCTATATTTAGACAGCCAGCAGCTGCTGCTCGAGCTTGTTTGTTGCGCAGTTAATTCCAAATTTCTGTATAATTCGCTTGCCACATTTATTGTTAATTAATGTGGGGCGCCACGGCAAGCAGCTGCAACAGAGCAAAACAAAGACGGCACACGAGCACGCATACGAACAACAATAGAATAATAGAATACAAGAATCTACAGTAGACACTTGCCGCAAGCGCTGCACCACGCGACGCCTGTTTCCGCTTGGCAGGCATCAACGTCGCCATCAGCTGCCCCCATCAGCCCCTCTGCGTGGTCCTGCCTCAGCCCAGATGTGAGTGATGCTGCCGCTGCCGCTGCTGCTGCCCGTGCTGCTGCTGCTGCAACATAGCTTTGATGCTCGCTCGCTCATTGGCGCGACATGTTGTCCACACGCAGCCAACACAAAGCCATTGCCAATTCTATTTTTGTGCAGCCAGCCAGACACTAGCCAAAATGCAAGTGGTTTGTTTTGGTCTCAAATCGCTCCAAGTCGCATTCAACAGACGCGAACGAGACACCAATGCAGCTGACAACACCTTGTCCATCAATATGCGATGCCAATGAGGCGTATGCGCAGCGTTTATGTCAATACAATTCAAATTCAAATTCACATTTATATAATTGTCCTCAGTTTGTATTCAAGCAGTTCGAATTCATAGTTCGAGTTCGTATAGAAATATTTGAGAAGAGAAGTCAGTTCCTGTGCTGTTAACTTCACGTCAATTTGAATAAATCTAGAAATCTATACATAACTTTATTTCACACCTCAAAAATAAAATCGTTGGGATTCATTCAGCTCGATCATGGCCGAATCACCGGAGCGCGGCAGCAAGGAGAACGTACCTGAAGCAGCCAGCAAGGAGGCAGCCGGACCCGAGCAGGCAGTCAAGGAGAAACCAAAGGCCAAAGAAAAGAAGGCTAAAGATGAAGAAAAGGGCCGCCCATCGGTGGGTGCGGCATTAATAGCGGCAGCGAAGCCCGCCCCACGCTATGCGCCCACCTACCGCCTGGAGCCGAAAAATCCAATGAAGCAGGAACGCCTCGAGATTGTTGTTAAGTCCGAAATGAATAAGAACTACGCCGATGACTACACATTCCATCCGAAGTACTCCCTGCACATGGCCGCCCAGGTCGCCGAGGACATTAAGGCGCGCATCAAGCTACTGAATTTCGATCGATATCGCTATATAGTGCTGATCACCGTTGGCGAGTATCTAATGCAGGGCCTCTACTCGATGGCCAACTTCCTCTGGGATGCCGAAAAGGATGGCTATGTCAACTATACCATTGAAACGCCCAATTATTTTGCTGTCTGCACTGTGTTCTATATATACTTTGACTAGAAGGATTATTGAAATCGAAGAACGCTTGCATAGTTTATATTTTGTAAAGTACAACAGAAACACTCACACACACATTCAATTATAGATTAGGGCTTGCAGCCTCAACTAGCCAGCATAAGTTGTCTATTAGTGATGATTTAGGGCAGACTGAACCACGTTCGACATGGCTCATAAATTGCGTACCTTTGCTGCCATTTTATTTGGGTGCACTATTATCGCACATAAGCCAGGCCAAAGTGCTAGCCCATTGGCAGTTAAGTCGTAAATTTTATGGCCAAAAGCAACAGTCCTTTTGGCCAGCTAGTCAGCCAGCCAGCCAGCCAGCCAGCCAGCAGCTTTCGACTGTCCATGCACAAAACTAATCATTCAAAACGCAACGGAAGTTGCGGCGGAAATTGTGGCAGCTGTTAGCGTCGCTCATTCTGTTGCTCACTCTCTTTGTATGTGTGAGTGAGTGAGTGAGTATGTGCGGGAGTGCTTGCCTATGCTGTTGTTGCTGCTGCGCTGTAAACATCAATTATGTATGCTCTGGTGTATGCCAGCAGCTATACAAGAAGCCAAGGCGCGCCCGCAAAGTATGCTATGCTAGGGGCAACACTTCAGTTTAGTTGTTTCAGTGTGTGTGTGTGTGTGTGTGTGTGCCTTGTCTCTTTCTGTGTCTGCGGCTGGCACTTCCTCTCGGCAACAGGAAACAGGATGCTGTTAATGTTACAATTCGACATAATCGATGCTTGTCGTACGAGACTCGCATTTAACCTGGCAATTTGTCGGTTGCATAAACATTAAGTTTTATTTGCAGTTTATCTGCACGTTGCCACTGCCCCCACCCCACCGCTAGTGGCGCGCATAAATCAAGCTGTGGCAGCTTTAACAGCTAGGCCAACTTTATGGCACATTAAATTTCAAGACACCAACAACAAATAAAAAGCGAAACAGAAACAAAATTGATTAAAAAATGCAAAACGTGCTAAACGCTGACCTTTATAGCAACGTGACGTGGCGAATTGTTGATTTGATTTTTATCTCTTTGGCTGTGTTTGTTTGTTGCTTATATTTGTATTTTTTTTATTGTAAAACAATTTACGCGACGTTTACATATTCATTTGAATGCCAATAGCAGATGCAGCAGCAGCAGCAGCAACAGCAACAGCAGCGGCAACATTGCTGACAGGTTCGACAAGCGAGGATTATGCAAGCGCCACAGCTCGTGAATAGCATTCGAAAGAGCAAAAATCAAATATATCAAAGACAACAACAGCAGCAGCTAAACGCCATGTGCCGCTGTGTTTGTATCTGTAGCTACAATATGTACTACAATATTGAAACGTATATTTGTAAACAATATGCAGACGTCATAGACAGAACTCATTTAAGAAAAAGAAAAAACAAACAACAACTAAAATATACATATATAAATATTAGACAATAAAAAAGTACCGAGCCAAGAAGCGCACAGTTCAACAGCAACAACAACTGTTTCTCTCTCTCCCTCTCTTTCGCTCTCCCCACAATATTTGTTTAATTTTTGGTCATAGCGCTGGAAACTTGTTTAACTACAACGGCAACGAGTTGTCTTTAATACTATACAATTTATATAGATATTTAATAACAATCTATTTTTTGTTGTTCAATTTTTATAGTTTTAATATGCAGCGAGTTGTTATTGCCTTATTGGAGCGTTCAGAAATTTCGCATGTTATCGCAACATGACAAGTGTCAGCGATATACGCCAAAAGGAGGGAGCGCGGGCTAAAGGGGCAGCAGAAAAAAATATATATACATATATTTTATAAAATATTAAGAGCAGCAGCAAAGTCTAACAATTTGACAAAACGTGTTAGTTATGGACACGCGCAATAGAAAATCGAAAAATAAATAAATAAACAAACTAAATAAACTCTAAAAAAAAAAAAAAACAGCATTGAAAAATGTTTTTCTGATTTTGAGCAGAGCTTATCAGAGAACTGTGAGTCACAGCAACTAAATACAAATAAATTATACATATATATAGATATCTGTTTGCTATATCTTGTTAAACTTACTTCAGCTCTTRCTTGAATATCTATAATTCATATGCACAAAATTTCGTTATTTATTTATTATTATTATTATTTACTTGTTTTTGTTTACTTTTCGAGCTTTTTCGCACTCTCTTTGTAGCGCTGCAGCTCAGCTTATCTTATCAACACACTCTTATTTTTTTATTGTTATTTTGTATTTCGGTTCTTAAGTGAGCGATTAAGTTAAGACTTTTGCGAAGTGAATCATGGCGCAGCGTTTTATCAATTTTGATTGGCAAGTCGCGACGGAACGCGGAGCGCGAATATGTTTTGTTGTCCAACGTGGAGAGCGCGCACCGGCAAACTAAGTTAAATCGAATCGAATGTCGAATCGAGCGTCAAACAGCAACACGATTGTGGAACCAGAGCTGCTGACGGTATGACGTGTTTAACTGACCAACTGACTGAGTGACTGACTGAAGGTGCTCGAGGTGCTCGAGGTGCTGGAGATGTTTGAGGTGGGCGTCGACTATCGATAGTCGACTTAACTGGCATTATGAGCGCTTCTCTTTTCCATTCTCTCTCTCTCACTCTCACTATCTCTAGCTCTCAGTGGCTCTCTTTTAATTTAAACAACATTTTATGCTGTTGACATATTCGCACTGATTGATGGCACACGGCTGAGCAAACAGTACGCCGAGCATTGAAGAATCTGAGAATTGTAAAATTGACAAATGCCACAACACAATAGCCGGTTAATAAGCCAGCACTGCACACACACACACACTACTGCACACTGTTGCAGCCGAAATTGAATTAAAGCTGTTTCAGCTGCGTTTACTGCATGCAAATGAGTTGTGGGCAACAGTCAACGCCTGCGGCTGGCCAGTCGCTTCGTGCTACCTGACCAAACAATTGCAGTACAACAAAAGTCATTTGGACTCACACACACGCACTGAGGAAGCCGCACTGGCTCACTTTTGCTCGCTCACTCTCCCTCTCTCTCGTTCTCCCTTACTCTGTCTGGCAGCATGTTTTGCATACAAAGCGGGGGCCTGTAATGACGCCAACTGCCAGTCCAGTGCCTGTCCAGGATGTGATGCCTTATTGTAGCACTTCGGGCACAATGCGTATTGTGTGTGCTCTTTGTGTATACCACGTGAGTGTATGTGTGAGTGTGCGTGCGGGTGCGTATGTGTGTCTGCGTAGCACTTGTCTGATAAGTTTTCAGTGGCATTAGCACTGGCGAAGTTCGCTTCAAGCTTCAAGACAAACTGTTGCTTTAATGCACCAAAAGTCTTTGCAAATCGAACGAAAATATTGAAACAATTTAATATGCCATCAATTAAGCTCATATTTATCATTCACTACGCTAGCAACTAGTAAATAAATATTCTGTCAGTTTTTACTTTGTTATTCTTTTTTGGCAAGCTTCTGCACTGAACTTTGCTCAGGCGAAAATGTTTTGTTCGACTTCCTCGTTACGAGCTGCACATTGAGACATACATACATATGTATGTATACATATGTGTATATCTTGGATATATAGTTTATACCTTTATGTTCTGAAAATTTGTTTGACAGTCTGTAAACAACATTTGCAAATACATAAACAAATCAAAAATTTATCAATTAGTTTTGGCTTTGCCAATAACAAATCAAAATTTGATTTGATATGATTTGCTTTGCTTTTCATGGAATGTGCTAAGGCGCCTGCTGATGCCTGTTGCTACGGATCAGCGGCTAGAGGGCTTATGGATTGCGACATTGTGTTAATTGTCTGCCCGTTTCATGGCCTGGCGACTGCTGTTCCGGCTCACGAACAGCTTATAAATAGGACATGTGTGTGTAAGTGTGTGTGTGAATGTGTCCTCAATTAAAATTAATTATGCCCAAACGATACGCTCAATAAAAATTTAATTTGCAACAAAAATAAAGAGTCAAGAAAATGAGAAACATAGACAAAATTTGACATTTAAGTGCTATGTAACACACACACACATACATACACACGCACACCCATACATGCCCAATAATTGAAATTGAATTTTCAATGATAGAGTAGAACAAACACACTCTATGACGATGTCATCCCGTCGTCTCCGTTATTGTTGCTAGCCACCCGCACGAGCATTTTGGCAAAACTATTTTTAATCAAGTGCACACGTTGGTTGCTTTTGGCAACTGCACCAAATCAAAAACACACACACACACTCACACACACACGCACGCACAGCATACTACATTCATTTTGTGGGCTGGCATCGACCGGATGCTGTATGGGCGTGACCAGGCAGGTCAACAAACAAAAACTGGACGCCCTTTACCAGCAAGCAAGCTCTAACAAGCTCTTCGCTCCAAAGTGTAAGTGTCTCAAGTGGGCGGATCCAAGTAGAGAACAATAAACACTTGGCCGGAATATGTTCTGCATTTAGTTTTTATCAGATCAGGCGAGAAGCACAAATTAAAAATAAATTGGGGGGTAAAACAACAACAACAGCAAAGACTAGAGCAAATAAAAATCAAAAGTGTAAAATTCAACTTGTTGGCTCTGTGATCCTCTTCTTGCCTCTGCTATGGCAACGGCCATGTTGCGTGCCAAGTGGAAAATATTTCGCAAGTTTTTCTACATGAGTACTATAGTCGTTGTTGTTGCTGTTGCCGCTCTACACATTTAGTTATTGTGCGAAAAGAAAAGCAAAAAGGAAAAACGTAAAACGAAAGAAAACGAGAAAAAAATGAAGAAAACAGTGGAAATGCTAGAGAGCAGACGTTGTGCGACTAGCCAGCCGGGCAGGCAGCGTCTTGTGTTTAGTTTTTGTACATTTAATTTGGCATTGTTGTTGCTCTTGCCGGCTAAACAATAAAAAAGCATAATAAGCAACAATAACAGCAACAGCAGCAACAACAACAACAACAACAATAGCACTGCTCTGACTAGAAGAAGCATGAACATTTTTTGGCAAACAATTCAGGGCTAAATATTTTGTTTATGTGTTATCACACACACACACACACACGCGTCGGCAACAGAGCGCAGCATTCAAAGTTTCTAAAAGAAACCAACAACAACAACAGCAACATTGATCAAGAAATGTTGTGGGCGGACGCTTGGCAT